TCAGAACTGGGGGTCCCATGTTCGAATCCTGATGAAGACTGGGATTTTTTATTTCGGGATCTTCCACCCAGCTCTTATGGGTACCTGACACTAGTTGGGGGAAAGTAAAGGCGGTTGGTCGTTGTGCTGGCCACGACGCCCTTATTAATCGTGAGCCACAGAAACAGATGGCCTTTACATCTCTCCCTATAGATCACAAGGGCTGCATATGTCATCCTTGTTTAGTTCAAATCAGAATAGGTGAAAGTATTGGCTAATATTTTTTTCATTTATTCAGCTGTCACTGAAATATATCAGGAAAGGCCTTGGTTTTCATTAGCTTGAGTAACAATTGCCTTAGTCTATTTTTACTTAACCCTTGTTTATCTATCCTTGCAGATGGAATGCCTACAGATGGCAGCGCTCAGCAGAAAGAAAATCAGCACGACAATGTGGAGGGAGTAGGAGAAGACACTAACACTGAGGCCCCGGGGATTGTAGTGTATTTGGTAGACCCTTTCTCCTATGGGCAGGATGGGGAGTCTGTGTCACGCTTGGCCATGATTGGCTTGTTGAGGTGTTACCAGCAGATGGCCCTGCCAGAACATTTGGCCAACAACTTGAGTTTACAGGTAGACTCTCTTGTCCTATTGTTACTAAATTAGTGGGCCAACTTAAGTAATCAGTGTTAATACATCATAGGACTTTGATGCTTCTATTTTGATAGGATTTTAGCTTAATGCATTTATTTCTTTATTGTTTGTTTCATCAGCTGGTCCCATTGCGTACCATCCTGGAACATAAGGACAGTGCCAATAAACTGCAGACATTAAAATCTATTGCCTTCTCTGTGTTTACTTCATGTAAATGGAACATAGGATACAGCATCATGGGACGGTCACTAACAGGCTTTGGCCCTGCTGCAGCTGCTGAGCAGTTCTTGAAGCGCAAGGGGGTAAGAGTTTTGTCACCGTCTGTGTTACAGGGACCTATATATATTTATAAAAACACATTTTTTTTTTCTTTGAGACAGTACACAGTACCACTCATGTGGTTTTAAGTTATTATTTTAATATTGTGTAAAAACTGTTTGATGTATACTTTATTTCCTTTCAGAATACTTCTGACACCATGAAGCTGTACAGTCCGCCCTACATCCTTGCATCTACCAAGAGCAAACAGAACCAGATAATGGAAGCCAAGACTGACATGCAGACTATTGTGTTCTGTGGCTATTGTCTCTCGGAAGACCAGCGCTGGCTCATTGCTGTGTGTACAGATGAGAAGGGAGAAATGATGGAACACTGCACTATAAACATTGAAATTCCTAGCAGGTATGTCGTATGTCAAATTTGAGCTTGTATTTATGTTTCATTGCTATAACAGTAAATGTGGTATACTTTGTTGACATAATGATTCTGTTTTATGTGCATTTCAGAAATCGTAGAAAGAAAGCATCAGCTAGACGACCAGGGTTACAAAAACTTTGGGACTTTATATTAAGTGTAGTATCCCTGACCTGCTACCCAACTCGTCTGGTTATTGGCAGGTTTGGTCGAATGGGTCATGGAGAGCTGAAAGGTGAGTTGCTTCAGTACCTTAGAAGAGTGTTTCCCAAACTGTGCTGTGTGGAGCCCTAGTTTTCCACAAGGTCTAAATAGGTGTTCTACGAACTATTGGAATAAATTACTTATAGGCCACCACATGAATTGATCTTTAAAAAATAAGCCAACCTAAAAAATAAGCCAAAAGCTTACCAACACTCAGACTGTACAGTATTCTTTTAAGGTAAAAGTTTGGGAACCACTGCCTTAGAAAGTTGCCATCTACTTTTTTTCAAATGCCATAAAAATGCTCCTTGTCCTAGATATATATTTGAGCACATTATTGTTTTATTTCACCCAGGCTGGTCAGGTCTGTTAAGTAAAAAGAATTTGCACAGTGCCTCTCGCCGCTTGAAAGATATGTGTGGACAGTGTTCAGTGATGGGCCCTTCTGAGGTCCCCTGTGTCCTGAGTGTCTGCCTCACCTCAATAGAAACTCACCCAAGTTTTCAAGTAAGTCCTTGAGTGTAATAACCAACAGAACCATTGTGATGTCAGACTCTATTTCCCAACCTCCTTTTTTTTTTTTTTAAGTAGTTTCTTTCTTTTTTAGTCAATCAATTTTGTAGTTAAAAGGCAGGTTTTTACTAAAAAAAATTCTGGGTTTAAGAGGTAACTTATAAACACACTAAAAAAACAGAATACAGAATATTTGGTAAAAGAAAAAAAAAACTAATTTGTTTATCTACATTTATCCACTTGAAATTACAATTTTTTAAATAATTGTTCTAAAAAAAAATATGAGTATAATTGAACAGCTCTGGGTATTTAATAATTCAATTGAGCAGCTCTGGTATATTCCTGGCAGGTACATTTTCTACTCATGTATAATAGTAGGGCCAAGTCTTTCCATACAGTTTTTAGCATATTCTCATGACGAGTACCTAACTTGTTTTAGTTCTTCCAACTACATTATGAGTTTCATTTGTGCTTCAGGTCGTAGCAGACACCTTGAAACCAGAAGAGAAGCAGAGTAGCAGTATTCCTCTGCAGACCCCTCGTGATGCCAGCGTGACCCATATTTTGGTCTTCCCTACGTCTGCAACAGCTCAGGTATTCATTGAGCCGTACTTTTATCATTTCTTCTACACTGTACTCTGAACTGCAGTGTAGGTTAAAACTGTTAAATTTGTGCTAACTTGTGTCGTCATCCCACAGGTCAATGCCAACCCTTTGCAGCAAGACCCACAGAATGATCTTACGGCTCATTTTGAGCTGGACGATGTTTTTGTTGACATTCACCAGATGGGCGAGGACATGGGCTTTCTGGATATATTTGGGGAGACCTTTGATAATCCACCAACGTCTCCACCTGGCTCTCCGATAAGTAATGCCAACAGACAGAATCTCAGGATGAATGGACCATCCACAGTAAGTGAGATGTCAAAGCATTTGCCAGGATGTGATATATATATCAGCATTATTTGTTGTCTTTGTAACTTGCTTACACTTTTTGGTGTTTTGTATTCTTTCAGAGTATGATAGAGAATCAATCCGACCCCCAAGATGACTGCAACCTCCTACAGCAGCCACTGGCTATGGGTTATTACATTTCTACTGCTCCACCTGGACCACTACCTAAATGGTTTTGGTCAGCTTGCCCTGAAAATGAATTTGTCAGTCCACACGTTTTTAAGGTAAGCTTTAATGCTGTAACAGAGAGGAGACAATAGTATGTGTAACAGCTGTTAGTTGAATAATATTGAATTTGTCAAGGCACAATACATCTCAATGGGCTTAATCAGCTATATCCAAGATATGCTAGAGATGTTCAACTCATTTTGACTACATCTCATTGGGCTTTATCAGTTATATCCAAGATATGCTAGAGATGTTCACTTCAGTGTGACATCTCAATGGGCTTTTATCAGTTATATCCAAGATATTTTAGAGATGTTCAACTCAGTTTGACTACATCTCATTGGGCTTTATCAGTTATATCCAAGATATTTTAGAGATGTTCAATTCAGTTTAACATCTCAATGGGCTTAATCAGCTATATCCCAGATATTTTAGAGATGTTCAACTCAGTTTGACTACATCTCATTGGGCTTTATCAGTTATATCCAAGATATGCTAGAGATGTTCAATTCAGTTTGACATCTCAATGGGCTTTATCAGTTATATCCAAGATATGTTAGAGATGTTCAATTCAGTTTGACATCTCAATGGGCTTAATCAGCTATATCCAAGATATTTTAGAGATGCTCAACTCAGTTTGACTACATCTCATTGGGTTTTATCAGTTATATCCAAGATATGTTAGAGATGTTCAATTCAGTTTGACATCTCAATGGGCTTAATCAGCTATATCCAAGATATTTTAGAGATGTTCAACTCAGTTTGACTACATCTCATTGGGCTTTATCAGTTATATCCAAGATATGCTAGAGATGTTCAATTCAGTTTGACATCTCATTGGGCTTTATCAGTTATATCCAAGATATGCTAGTGATGTTCAATTCAGTTTGACTATATCTCAATGGGCTTAATCAGCTATATCCAAGATATGCTAGAGATGTTCAATTCAGTTTGACTACACTTAAGAAACAAAAAAGGTGTGGGGTACTGGTTATAAATGAGAATTGAACTAAATATATTTGAAACAACATTTTGTTTTCCAGTCTGCTCTCCACATTCATGAATCCTCCCGCCATGATGATATACTTCATAAAACTGACAATCGAAATAAACCTCATGCTCTGGACTCCCACATGACCTGTGATGTTTTAAGGTAAGTAGTCAGCAGTTTCTTCTACTCAAATGTTAAAATGTCCTTTGAGGCTTTTTCATTCACTTGTCTCATCTGTATGCATTGAAGCAGCATGACTTGTAGTGTCTGCACACCATGGGACTACAGTTCTAGAAATAGATATGGAAGATTCTGTTGTTTCATTCACATTTGTTATATCTAAGTCTTGATGGATTTTTCATTATAGAAATCTGTTCCTCTTTCTTGTAATTAATTAAGATCCTCGTCAAGTCTATAGAATGCTCTTAAAAAAACTGATACATTTCGTTTTTATTCTTCCTAGATACGTCTTAGAGAATTACAACTCACTTTCCTGGCTTACCTTTGACCCAGTACTTAATGATCGCCGCTCTTGCTTGCCAGTTCATTTTGTGGTGTTAATGCAGCTCTATCATGCACTCCAGACGTTTGTTTAAAAAGGATGCATGGCTCAAGACACACTGACACTCAAGCCGGCCAACACTGACTCACTTGTGCAGGCCTATTCAATCAAGTTTGCCGTCATGGATTGAGCCCCAAAACTCATGCTACTGTTAGACTATTTCCAGTCACTACAGAAGATTTTGTAGTCCCTGTTGGATAACACTTTCTTGTTGTGCCTGTTGAAAAACCTGATCTGAAACTAATGGCAAGCAGAAGAAAATGCAAATGGGGGATTAAGAGAGAGGGGGGGGGGGGCGTTATGAAAACCAAATGTTGTTTGATGTAGAGTATGTATAGTGAAAGATTTTATTTATATGAATGGCACCATCTTTGAAAAGGGATTTACTCACTTTTTTTTTTATTATGGTAATGCCTGCATTTAAAAAGAAAAAGATGAATACTAAACTTTTATGGGTAAAGAAAAAAACCAATCACTATTTATTTGCACTAATAAATGTCTCTATTTATGAATCAATTGTAAATATCTTGTCAACTTACAATATAGACACTTGCATCCTCATTTTTATAGATTTCATTCTGTATTTCATTCACCATTTCATGTTGATCTGTGGACTTGTGTTTGTTGCTAAGAGGATGTAGCCACTCTATTTCTCTCCGCCAACTCATTTTTTGTAATGTGAAATTGTTCAGCGCAATAAAAACTACGGTTATTACAAGAGGGTTTAGCTAAGGTAGCTCTTGTGCAGGGCACTCATTTTGAGCATGACACTATGTCTCTAGCAGCAAACTAAAAGCGTTTGTGTTGGGTTTTTTTGTTTTTGTTTTTCTGGTCTCTGCCTCCTTCCTAATGTGTTGAATAATGTGTTCATGTTTCCTTTAAAGACCTCCTTCTGTGAAAGAGTTCTATCATTTGTAACTACCAATTATGCTTTGTTCTTATTGATGCTACTTTGTACTAATGCTTTAATACTGGTTGTGTTGTGCATGTTCCCATGGTATAGAGTCATGGCCTTAATGCTTTGGAGACATCATCAATGATTGGGTTAATGGGCAACCAGGTTTTTAAAAAGTTTGTTTGCTGCAATAATTTCTAGCTTGGCAAACAAAGGCACATTCTTGTATTGTAAGAACTTTCTGGCAGACTGATAATGGCATAGCTTAAAGCAATACACTTTGTTTGTCATTTCGATTTATGCCTTGTCTTTAAAAATAAAAGGTGTACCAGTACATCAAAGGAAAAAACAAAATATGCTAATGGTGTAATTCTACATTCTAGTAGATGTGAGTGAATTTGTTCAAGAACTTGCATGCATGTAAGATATACTGAATCATTGGTGCAAGCAGCTTATGTTCATGTGAACCTATAATCTGTGTCCCTTGACCAAAGATATTGTGTGATGGTGTCTGACAAACCTGTTTCTGAACCTGTTGATGTTGATCAAAAAGAAATAAGTCATTGTTATTATTTTTTTGAGGAATTAAAATGTCATTGTACATGTTTGTTTTTTATTTCAAAGCAAAGATTATATGTAAAAAGTGGTAACTATTTCAACAAAACAAATTAGTGTGAAGTGGAGATATATATATATATATATTATATATAAAATCTATACAACAAAGCCAATTGTATATGTATTGATGTATATATATTAAGTGTTTGTGTACCTGTGTTGAGCTCTTAGAGTTAAGTTGATAGCAATGCTGCAGGACTGGAAGACATCTTTCATTTCATTCTACACAGCTGATGTCTGGACAGCTAGTCAGAAAGAAATTCTTTATGCTAAATCTCATGCTGTACATAAGAATATACACAACATATTCCAATGCAGACCTCGAATGTACATAATCATTGTCTTTGTGCTTTTGTTATAAGCATATTATTTTTGTATCTTTGCATATTTTTCTATAACAATGTCTTGTTTTAGTAAAACAAAAAAACATCAAAATGGATTTTGAATCATGTCATGCTAATTTTATGTGGAATAAATTTTTTTTAATCATTTTTTTTTAGCCACATGCATTTTACTATGTGTATTATTGTCGACTGGTTTTGTACAAATATTTAAGTTCACTGGACAAAACAAGGCTAGTCCTATATTAAAAGGTGTAATAGCCTGCTTGGTCTGGAAGTGTATTTCATGTTGACCAGAATGCAGGATAACTTGTCATGTACTAAGTAGCTTTAAACGAATGAACAAATTGTTTGTCGTGGGGGGGAAAAAAGGAACTTACGATGAAGAATGAAATAACTTTGAATGGTGTTGATGTCGCGAGGTTTTAAGTGGAAGATTGTTGACCAAGAATCAACTGTATTGCCCCAACATAGTTTGATTTGTTTTCAGGTTGTGATACTCGTGAACAGTTTCCTTTCTCCTCATTTGTTGAGGCTTCAATGATGTCAGACACACTGAATCTTAATGTCCACAGTTTCCTTTCTCCTCATTTGTTGAGGCTTCAATGATGTCAGACACACTGAATCTTAATGTCCACAGTTTCCTTTCTCCTCAATTGTTGAGGCTTCAATGATGTCAGACACACTGAATCTTAATGTCCACAGTTTCCTTTCTCCTCATTTGTTGAGGCTTCAATGATGTCAGACACACTGAATCTTAATGTCCATAGTTTCCATTCTCCTCATTTGTTGAGGCTTCAATGATGTCATCCCTGTGTCGACAAATCTTGTGCTGCAGATGAGTCTGCACAGCCTTCACCCCCCCCCCCCCCTTTCTCAAATCTATTTGGAGACCTTTATTACTACCCTACCTTTGTATATATACATATACAAACTCTAGTTGGACGCTAGTATTACACTGTATGGATGTGCACGAATGACCCCCCGCCCCTCAGAACAAAAATTTGACCTAATCATTTCTCTTTGTGTATAAACTACAATCTGTGATGGTTCTATTTTTGTTCATGGTAGCATTTGTTGACACAGTGTTTTTTTTTTTTTTTTTTTGGTTTTGTTTTTTCTTTATTGTATATAAAACTGATTCATTCACACAGAGAGCGAGGGGCCGTTTTTGTTTTTCTCGATTGTATATAGAACTAATTCATTCAATGTATCCATGATGTCCCCTTGTTCTAAATTATTATTTAGCTGGTCATATCAACTACAGTAGTCTTGACAAATAAAACTCATGACACAGTCTTTAGTGTTGCTTGTATGAATTAGCAGCGGACAAGTTGACATCACATTTTTTTTTTGGTCATGTACATTTAAGTTAGTGTCCTCATTCTGCAACCATCATCTCTAATGGACAATGTCGATGAAATTGGGAAATAAAGAAATGTCCTTCCAGTGAGTTTACCAAAATGTACTGTCTTAAATTTATATTCTAAATACATTCTGTATGCCCTTTGGTCCAAGCTTTCTTGTGGACATGTGGGGAAACAAATGTCTGGGAGGTGTCTATGGGTGGATTTGTTATTGGTAATAGTTATTATTCATGTGTTTTCAGCTTTTTATGGCGAGAGCTAGGCTGTAGTTTAAGAAGATAGATATATTTTTTTTTAAGTGCACCGATGAGCCCAACCAACTTTAATAGATACGGTCCCAACATTAGTTTGGGAAAAGGCTAGGTGATCATTATGCTGTCCTCATGACGGTCTCGCTAAACGTGAACCACTTAAACAGATGACCTTTATATCGTCTGCCCCATAAGATAGGAAGGTCACTTTACCTTTTTATGTCAGTCATCATCAGCTGAAGCAGTTCCAAGACCGCGCAGTTGTGTACTCATCACTTGTAGCTGTACAAGGTCGGCTTTATGCACATCACACACTGTTCCATGAATTTCGAATTTGTCTCGTAGACGTGTAATTGTTAACCTTTGAAGGTGTTTCTGTACCATACTCATGTCTCCCACTGTCTTCGAACCGCAGTTACATTCTCAAACTTCCAATACCACGTAATTATCTGCTTCTTCTCTTCAAAACTCAAACGTACGTCCGCCGTGTTGCAATTACTGATGCTGAAGGCCACCAGTTTGAACATTAATCACATTTATTTTTTCCCATTAGGCATTAAGCTTTCCATGTCCAGAAATTTAGCATTGTAAAACGGGAAATAAATTGTCTATGACAGTTCAAAGTGTGTATACATTTTTTTGACGCACCCTGTATAGAGACAAACATTCCGGTTATCAGAAATCCTACACTTTTTCAGCCAAACCTACTTTATGAGGTTGTGCCCTCCAACCGGAAGGCATTGGAATGTCCGGCTTTATGGTATCTGCAATGATACACCGTATATCAGTGATGCCCAAAAAAACGGTTCCATCCGAAACGACGCACACAAAGTGTAGAAAATCGCCCATCACTTGAAAAAATTATCTCACTTTTTCTAAGATGGATTGGTACCATGACCTTTAACATTTTGTGCGTTTATGAAATGGGACTCTGAGTGTAGAATCTACCATGAAAAGTGAACGGATCTTTACTTTGTTTGTGGAACATGATAATAAGCAATTTACATACTTGTTTCATTAAAAAAAAGTATGGCTTTTAAAAAAAAAAAATATCACGGAAATTGGTTCAAAACAGATGAATAATTGGCGACAATTAAAAGACAAATCAGAAACACACGAGAAGCAAGCACTGATTACATATATGCAGTTTGTACACCAAACAGTCAAAGATCTTCTCAAAGTTGTGACTTGATACGTGAATGAATTTGTATTTCTCAGTCTATCGTGTCTCACACAAACGAGGTAAATTTAGCACCAACCCTCTCGCTTGACACCAACAGTATTACGGATATTTGAAGCGTTATTCAGGTCATTGATACCAATGTTTATATCTGTGAGACGCGCATTTGATTAAGGCTGCTTTTAAATATTTTTCACGAATACTTGCCTGAACATGGTTCTGAATGCTAGCCATCAATTGGCAGCTATTGTAGCCTTGGCCGAGTAGTTTATCCATGTAAAATGCACAAAATCTAATCGCTGACAATGACGTTAGACACAGGCAGTGCGTCTCTCTTACCAACAAACCATCGCTCAAACACATCTGTTCAGTGCCTGAGATATCTGCAGTTTCATTACCGAAATACCAAGCAAACGGAGTTAATTCATGACGCTTCTGCTCGTATATTTTGTATTCTTGCTGCTGCCAGTGCTCCGTCGATACAATGATTACCTAAGCGATAGACAGCGCGGTGCTGCCACTTGCGTAACATTCTTCAAAAGGGTCCTTCGATGGGAAGTTTTTACGGCTACACTTTCTTCCACGTATTTAACCTGCTATTTTATCGAGCTCTAACAAGGACCGCAACTCCACAAGACGTAACTACATTTACCAAAATGACTGCCCTCTTCAATCTTCTTCAAAGAAACTTTCCCATATATCGGATCGAAAGACAAGGGGCTAGAATCTCCTTCTAAGACATAAAAAAACAAAAAAATTTATCACTAAATATAACGCGTGGTCGAGAGGCCAAGTGCGCTTGAACTTGGCTTTGCTTGGCTACCTTGAAGAGGGCTCTAGGTTCGACACCTAAAGGCAGCACGGAAAACCAACCCTAACCCTAAAACCAACTCCTAGATTACCTCCCCCTTCAACTGGTCCACAAATGAGATTGGACCAAAAAGCGCTCTGAGCATGCTATAAGCATGAAAGTAGCGCTATATGAAAGCTATAATATATAACGATTGTGTGCAAATGAAAACAAATCGTCACGACTAACTTGCTAAACAATATTGAACTGTGAGCCTATAATGAAGCGTACATGGTCGGACATGAACTACAGATTAGCCTATTATCATAATAATAGCTTATTCAGTGGGAAGCACTACATGTTACGTTGCTTCCTAACAGAAGTTAATTGATTTGAAGGTGTAAAAGACGTGCTAATATTTGACTACCCAGAATTCAGAGGGGTACACGTAGGCCTACATAGTCAACCATCAATTCCTGATAAGCCTTGGCTATAGTCTACTACGTATAACATTAATTTATCTTTACAACTGTACTTCAGTCACCAGCGGAAGCACTAAATGTTCAGTTGCTACTTAATTTTCATTGATTTGATGGTGCAATAAAAAAAAAAGGCTAGAATTTAGCTATTCAGAATCCAGCGGAGTGCAAGTGCACCACCTTGCATTCGCCTGCTGGCGCCCATGAAGTCTGTTTACACTTGTGAAAAATGTTCCAGAACTGTGGAACTAGCTTGCTAGTTGTTTATCCTTGTAACTGCTATCAAATTACAGTCAGTCAGCATCGGCCTGTTCTTACACTTCTTTGCGTTCAAACAAAAGAAAAGAAAAAAAAACCTTTATTCTCGGACTAAAATAATGCAAAAGTTTAGCAGCGAAGTTTTTTTTTTAAAGCTGTGGAAATACAGCGTAAGAAGCGACTGGGACTTCTCTTTCAGGTCATCATTTGCTTGGAGGTATGCATCCTCTGGCTTTGGAGTTAAATCAGCTTCTGCGCTAAATGGTGAACTATGGTATTAAAAAACTTGGTCCAAGTTCTTGGCGTCTTAAAAGTTGCTTTTAAATTCCACAATCAAGGAATCCAAATAAGTATTGTACTTTTCAACCGTTGCGCTAGAAATAGTTTCACCTGTCAGCAAAGGAAATTGACTAAACCAGTTTTTCCTTGACAGGAGAGAAGGGAAAGCTTTATTTGATAAGATTTAACACGTGCCAACAACCCATTGTAATATTTCCTATGAAAAACGTGAATTCTGTTTTCCACTCTTCATTAGAAATATTTTTAGCACCGGTAAAAAGCACAATGTCCTTCAAGGAACATAACAATTCTTTGAGATTCCATATTGTTCTCAATACGGCACCTTGCCCATGCTAAGCCAGCAAATACTACTGTGGTACCCGGTACCGAACATCGGAATGTTTGTTTCCAAATCTAAGTAGGCTACTTCTCGGAATAGCCTGAGGGTAAGACCCCTAACTCTAGATAAATTTGATCACAGAGATAATTAGGTCACTAATATGTTTGATATTCAATGCAACTTGGCGCAAACTTACCAGTTTAGAGTTTATGGTTGGCAAATTGTCCTTTATTAAAAAACCTGTTTTTCTCAGTCAAAGATCTAACTCCAGCAGTTGTTACACTTGCCATGTTATTCCAAGCCAACCCATGACTTTCAACACAGCTCTTCATAGCATTGAATAAATATTGGCCTGAGTTTGTCTTTGTTTTGATTTACTTTTAAACTACCGGTATTTAGAATGACGTGTGGAGACAATGTATTTTATTTTCTTCACCACAAGTGATAGGAATCAGAAGTTTCGATAATTTGTATATGTACGGTATAATATATAGTCACAATTGATTTCTTTAGGTGTCAGTGGACCGCAATTTGGCCACCCTTCTGCTACGGAAATAATTTTCTTTTGTGAAGCGCTGTCATTTATTAGATGACGATAGAAAAATATATATTCATTCAAAAAGTCTCCAAAAACAAAATCTACCGTACTCACAAACTAAACAGTTCCGGTACTTGAATAGGGCTGCTTAGAAAAACTAGCAACTGAAGCATCTACCAATCTGGAA